AACTAAGAGCATAGATCATTTCACTCTCTGGAAACTAAGTTCAGTTAACTAGGTGGTCCTATCCTTACTACCAACCACCAGGGACAAAGCCATGAAAAACACAGGAACACAGAGATAGCTGATTTGTTTTGGTTCTAACTTTGTGCCTTTACTCACGTATTCCACAAACAGAAAACAGGATAAAAGTCGAAAGGAAGGATTAAAGGTTTTTAAAAGATGATTTCTTTTTCTTTTTTTTTCTTATTTTATTTTTTTTAATATTTATTTTTTAATTTTTTGGCGGACACAACATCTTTGTATGTGGTGCTGAGGATCGAACCCGGGCGGCACGCATGCCAGGCGAGCGCGCTACAGCTTGAGCCACATCCCCAGCCCTAAAAGATGATTTCTAAAAATAATAAATGTATCCTCATGCAGTGGCACATGCCTATAATCCCAGCTACATGGGAGGCTGATGCATAAGAATCAAAAAGTTCAAGACCAACCTGGGCAACTTAGATCCTGCCTCAAAATTAAAAAAAAAAAAAAATGTAAACAGACTAAGTGAACCCCATAAAGGCTGAAGTCTTCCACAACCATATAATAATACCTCATTTTGTAAAGTGATTATCTCATTTCACATTATTTCATATTTCATGTGCCTTTTTTTATTTTTATTTTTGGGCGAGTACCAGGGATTGAACTCAGGGGCATTCAACCACTGAGCCACATCACCAGACCTATTTTGTATTTAATTTAGAGACAGGGTCTCTCTGAGTTGCATAGCACTTCACTGTTGCTAAAGCTGGCTTTGAACTCGAGATCCTTCTGCCTCTACCTCTTGAGACACTGGTATTACAGGTGTGTGCACCCAGCTATTCATGGCCTTTTATTGTCAAGAGATTTAATTTGTCCCTGTAAAATAACAATATATCACAGAAGTGGGTAAAATGTGATACTTTGTAGCAGTCCAGCAAGAGTAGAAAAGTTTGATTTCAGGGACTTTTTTTTTTCCATTAAGAAACAGACATTAGGGGTGGGGCTGGAGCTCAGCGGCAAAGGGCAAAGCACTTGCCCCGCAAGTATAAGGCACTAGGTTCAATCCTCAGCACCACATAAAAAAAATAGATAAATAACTAAATAAAATAAAGGTATTATGTCCATCTACAACTAAAACTATTAAAAAAACTTTAAAAAAATAAAAGAATAAATTCATTCCCTGGGGGCTGGGGTTGTGGCTTGGAGGTAGAGCACTTGCCTAGCATGTGTGAGGGACTGGGTGGATCCTCAACACCACATAAAAATAAAATAAAGATGGCTGGGGATGTGGCTCAAGCGATAGCGCGCTTGCCTGCCATGGGTGCGACCCGGGTTCGATCCTCAGTACCACATACCAACAAAGATGTTGTGTCCGCCGAGAACTAAAAAACAAATATTAAAAAAAAAAATTCTCTCTCTCTCTCTCCTCTCCTCTCTCACTCTCTCTTAAAAAAAAAAAAAAAATCCAGAGGCAAAAATAAAATAAAGATATTGGGTCCACCTATAACTAAAAAATAGAAAAAATAAAAAGAGTAAAAGTCCCTGGGGACTGGGATTGTGGCTCAGTGGCAGAGCACTTGCATAGCATGTGTGAGGTACTAGATTCGATATTCAGCACCACATATAAATAAATAAATAAAGGCCTGTTGACAACTAAAAAAATTTTTTTAAATAAATAAATAAATAGAATAGAATAGTCCGACAACCACTAGGGAGGCTGAGACAGGAGGATCCTGAGTGCAAAAACTCAGCAAAAGTAAGGTGCTAAGCAATTAATTCAGTGAGACCCTGTCTCAAAATAAAAAGGGCTAGGGATGTGCCTCAGTAGTTAATCGCCCCAGCATTCAATCCGCAGTACCAAAAAAAAAAAAAAAAGACAAGACAGTTAGTTGTAATAGATAAATTCTTAGGTCCCTTTCAGCTCTAACTTTCTACTCCAAGATCTCCAACTCACTAAGAAAATTTTATTGTCTCATTAAAGCTCAAAATGTAGTCATTTTAAATATACCACATGAACTGAAAAAAGCTAGAGAACTCATGCAGACTTTTCCTCTCAAGAGTTTCCAAAATTGCAGCAGACAGGAAACATGATTGCTTAATTTGTTAACCCGACTTATATAAGAACCAATCCTTGAAAAAAAACGAACCAGTCTAAATGGAACACTATAACAAATACAAACAATTCACAAGCACACAAATATTCCAAAGTAAGTAGAATTTTGGTGGTATTAAACTGTTTTCCAAAATAATTTTTATTTATCATAGGAGAATATAAAAATGTATATGGTCTGGGCCGGGGTTGTAGCTCACTGGTAGAGCACTCACCTAGCACATGTTAGGCCCTGGGTTAGTTAGATCCTCAGCACCACATAAAAATTAAAAAATAAATAAAATAAAGGTATTATGTTCAACTACAACTAAAAAAGATTCAGTAAAAATATATATGGTCTAAGCCCAGTGCAGTGGCACATACCTATACTCCCAGCTATTTGGGAGGCTGAGGCAGGATCACAAATGGCCAGCCTAGGCAATTCTCCCGTCTCAAAATAAAACTAAAAAGGGCTCAATGGTAGCTCATAGGTACAGTGCCCCGGAGTTTAATCCTCAATATATTAAAAAAAAAAAAAGTGGGGAGGGACCTGGATACAGTGTACATGCCTATAATCCCAGTGACTCAGGAAGCTAAGGCAGGAAGATCACAAGTTCAAAGCCAGCCTCAGCAATTTAGTCAGGCCCTAAGCAACTTATCGAGATGCTGTCTCAAAAATAAAAATCAAAAGGGGGGCGTGGAGGGACACTGAAAATGTGGCTCTTGGATTACAGGAGTGCACCACAGGGCCCAGTGGTAGAGTGCTTGCATGGTACGAATGAGGTCCTGGGTTTGATCCCCAGCACCACAGAAAAGAAAGAAAAAGATAAATTCTCAATAGACTTTAATCTTATTTTGTGTGTATGTTTTTAATTTCAAACTAACCAACAGTGCAACAATTCAAAATGAAAAGACTTAACTATTAAGCCAGGTGCAGTGGTACACACCTGTAACCCCAATGACTCTTGGAGACTGAAGTAGAAGAATTGCAAATTCAAGGTAAGCCTCAAAAATTTAGCAAAGTCCTAAGCAACTTAGTGAGACCTTATCTCAAAATTTAAAAAAGGACTGGGAATGTAGCCTTAGGTTCAATCCCCAGTACCAAAAGATAAAATGAGAAAGACTAAATATTGTGGTCAACTGATTTAATATACATTACAATATATATCTCTTTCTTTTAATGCTGTTATTCCTAACCCCTCTCAACCCTACCTCCCTACTCCATTCCTGACCTCACTCCTTTTCTTTCTCCTCCCTCTCCAAACATACATGATATTTTCAAAGCAGTCTAAGAAGTTATTCCCTATCTAGGAAATCAGTAGATTAAATCTAGGAAGCTTATTTAAAATATATTTTAGTGTGAGGAGACACAGTTCTTTTTGTTGTTTTGGTATGAAGGATTGAACCCAGAGGTGCTCAACCACTAAGCCACATCCCCAGCCCCACCACTTTTTTTTTTTCATACAGGGGATTAAACTCAGAGGCACACACCACTGAGCCACATCCCCAGCTCTATTTTGAATTTTTTTAGAGACAGGGTCTCACTAAATTGCTTACTGCCTCACTTTTGCCAAGGCTGGCTTTGAACTTGCAAACCTCCTGCTGCAGCCTCCCAAGCCACTGTGATTACAGGTGTGCACCACTGCACGTGGTCCCAGCCTTTTTTTATTTTTACTTTGAGATAAGTCTCACTGGGGCTGGGGATGTGGCTCAAGTGGTAGCGCGCTCGCCTGGCATGCGTGTGGCCCAGGTTCGATCCTCAGCACCACATACAAACAAAGATGTTGTGTCCGCCAATAACTAAAATAAATAAATATTAAAATTCTCCCTCTCTCTTTAAAAAAAAATAAAATAAAAAAGAGATAAGTCTCACTAAATTGCATAGGGCCTCACTAAATTGCTGAGGCTGGCTTCTAACTTTTGATCCTCCTGACTCAAGTCTCCCCTAGTCTCTTGGATTACAGGAATGTACCACAGGGCCCAGACATTGTTACTTTTCTAATTCATTTGCCTAAATGATTAGTCCTTGAGAAAGTGTTACCCCCAGAAGGTTCTATTCTCCCCCTACCTTGTTTTTTTTGGTATCAGGGACTGAACCCAGGGGTGCTTAACCATTAAACAATATACACAGCCTTTTTGTTTACTTTGTATTTGGAGATAAGGTTCTTGATAAATTGCTTAGGATGTCACAAAGCTAACACTGGCTTTGAATTGGCTATCCTCCTGCCTCAGCCTCCCAAACCGCTGGGATCACAAGTGTGCATCACTGTATCCGGATTCTATTCCCTTCTTTAACTCAACAGTTTCAATTAAGCCGAGAATTACTTCCTAATAAGTGCAAAAGATTGCCTGACATAGTGATACATGCCTACAATCTCAGCTACTCAGGAGATTGAGGCAGGAGAATCACAAGTTTGAGGTCAGCATGGGTAACTTGGTAAGTTTGTCTCAAATGAAAAATAAAAAGGAGAGTTGGGGGTGTAGCTCAGTGGTAAAGTGCTTGCCTAGCCAGCACAAGGCTCTAGACTCAACCCCTAGCACTACAAAAGTAAGTAAATAAGTTAGAGTGGTTTTTCAAGGCCACCATCACCTATCGCCCTTGTAATGGTCCTTAGTTGGGTACAACAGTGCATACCTTAAGCCCATCAAGACCCCCAGTAATGTTATCCAGACCCTGTTTCAAAATAAAAAATAAATATTTTTACCACTGGGATATAGCCCAGTGGTAAAGTGCCCAAGGTTTAATCCCCAATACCAACAAGAAAAAATAAAATGAAAATAAAAAGGGCTGGGCATGCAGCTCAATGGTAGAATGCCCCTGGGTTCAATTCCAAGTGACACAAAAACAGATAGACAGATGAACGCAAAAGACTGAAAACCTTACCTGGGGCATTTGCTATAGCCAATGGCAGGCCTGGAAGTTGGTGCACTTGAATTCCTGAAGTACCCAGTGCACTGAGGTTAATGGTTTGGAGGCCCGGCATGGAGGAGAGCTGAGCAGCATTCACAGTGACAGTGCCGGCAGGGATGGAGGCAGCTGAGGCAATGGGTGTAAGGGTGGTGTTGCTGCTGCTGGTCTGCCCCAAGGAAACACCCTGCATTGGGGCCAAAGTGATTGTCTGGGCCTGTGGGTTCTGAACTTGGAGATTCTGCAGCTGAAGAGTTTGCCAACTGACCTGTCCATTGGGCCCCACTGTTGGTGTCCGGATGATGATGGGGCCAGAGTTTGGAACAGCCTGAAGCTGGAGGTTCTGGAGGGTTTCCTGGGAGATAGCTTGAGTTGTAAAGGTCTGCCCTGACAATGGTGCTGCTTGGAGGGCCTGAAGAGCCTGTCCCCCTTGAACTAACTGAGGCTGAATAAGAATTTGTTGTTGCTGTGTCTGCTGGTTTTGTTCTCCCTCTTTTTGCTGACTTGCTTGCAGTGAGCCTCCAGATGTCTGGTTCTGTTGGATATTCAAGGCATCAGATCCCTGTAGCCCACTAACCCTCTGGGGTGTCTGGCCTTGAGAATTGGTCCCGGATGATCCGCTGGTGGTAAAGTTCATAATTCCCATGTTGCTGGTGGTAGTAGTTGTTGAGTAGCTATTGGCATTGGTAAAAAAGGAGCTGGAACTGGCTTGTGATGACACCAAGCTAGCAGAACTGATGGCAGTCCCTGAGGTGACAGGCTGTGAGCCACTCTCCTGGGACCCAGAGCTGCTAATCGTGACGGCCTGAGAGCTGGGAGTCAAGGTAGCTGCAGAAACACTGTTGACAGGTAGCAAGGTGATATTTCCATTCAAGGCCACTGGTACATTGGTCACATACTGAGTCTGTCCTGAGAGCACATTATTAGCCAGGCCTTGGAGGGGTACAGCCTGCTGGAGTAAGTTTGGCATAGCAGCAATGATGTTGCCTCCACTTCCTCGATTTGTGATGATCTGCTGGTTTGCACCTGGTATGATCTGTATTTGACCAGAACCATCCTGCTGCACTTGTGCCCCTGTTGCAGCAAATTGCAGCTGCTGCCCATCAACTGTTTGGAACTGTGGGATTACTTGATATTGAATGTTAGGCATCACTCCAGGTAGTCCTGTCAGAACTTGCTGGTTCTGTAAGTTGGAGGTGGCAGCCACAACATACTGCCCACCAGAAACCGTGCGATTCTTAGAAGACTCACTGCCACCGCTGCCATTGGTATTGTTTCCACTCTGTTCCTTTGAGGTAGGAGTAGCCCCAGAGGAGGAAGAGATGATCTGCCAGCCATTGGCACCCTGTGAAAGTTGTGTGGCTGTGAGGTCAAGCTCACCTGTGCCCCCTGACTGGCTTGGACCCTGGGAGTTGTTGCTGTTTTCATTGGGTGACTCAATTCTGCTGCAGGTTGCTGCCAGCAGAGCCAAAGGGGATGGCTGGGATTCCTGGCCAGAAAATAGGAGAGGAAAGGAGTTAGTGACACCTAGCTGCTAGCCTAGGGGGCAATATACAAAAAATAAACAGCAATGCAGCGCAATATTTAAAAAAAAAAAAAAAAAAAACTGGCCTATATTTGGGGATGGGGGTATAGTTCAGTGGTAGATTGCATGCCCAGCATGTCTGAGGCCCTGGATTCAATCCCAGCAATGCAAAAAAATAAAAAAGAAAAAAGGAAAAAAATCCAAAAAACCCTGACCTATAGGTATTTCTAAAATTCTCATCCTTAGGGAATCTCCAACTCACTTTCCTCCCTAAGCTTACTTCTTTCAATAAAATTAGTTTTTTTCCTAAAATGTTTTCTATGAAGATTAAAGCAATATCTAAGAATATTTAGATCCGCTCAATACCTTCCCCATTTGATGATCACTCACCTGCCCTCCTCCTCCTCCTCCTCCACTGCTGCTGCTACTGCCTGTGCTGCTGCTTCGAGTCTGAGAAAAGGCACCACCACTATTTCCATTGCCCCCATTATTGCCACCAACTCCTTTTTCAATCTTCACCACTGCTGTCATTTCATCCATGGAGTGATCTTGATCTAAAGATAAAAGATAAAAAACTTAAAGTGGGGAGAGGGAATTAAAAAGGGTAAAGCCTATTAAACTATGATGAAATCAGTAATGACTAATAGGAAGATGAAAGTCACCAGTACAAATAAAATGGATCTGGAAAGGGGAATCCTAGAGCCTACAGGACATGAACTAGGTTCAGTGATGCCAAAAGCAAGTCTCAATTTCCCCATGAACAAAATTAAACTCAGAAAATACTCATAAAGTGCTTTGGGGATGGGAAATGTGAAGAGTGGTAGAGGATGCTGAAAGAGTTTCAAAATAATGAAAAGTATCCTGGGGAAAAAAGGAGAATAGGTAAGGCAAAAATCAATATGTGGGTGGATGGAAAGCTTGCTAAAATTAGAGTTAAAAGAGATGGAGAAAGAAAAATACAAGTATAAAAAGTAAGAGGGGAAAAAGGAAAAGTGGGAAAGAGGAAGCAAAAACTCCAAGTGGGGAAACATTTGTGAATACTAGCAATAGGCTAAAGGGGTCTAAGGGTTAGAAATCAGAAGGTTTCAGGACTAGAGGGCGGACCCTAGAAAAAAAGGGCGGTTTCGGGGTGAGGGGCGTGGAAAGGGCGGGACCGCGAGGGGGGGAGGGGAACTTACCGGGTGTGGGGGGGAGGGCCTTGGGGCAGGCAGCGACCAGAGGGCGGACCAGGGAGGCGG